GCAGCAGCTAATCTCTTTCTCTCTCGGTGCCGAGCGAGTCTCTTACAGATACAGTTGTAATTTTTGTTTTAAATATCATGGCTGCTACAAATGCAAAAGAGAATCAACAACACTAGCTAGTCACAAAGGTGTAAAATGGTAGTAGACTAGAAATACAGTCTAGATTCAAACAGAGGGAAATATAGTGACTACATAAGGAGAAGGAGGGTAAATGTGAGAGATAATAGAGGATGCAGAAGGGTAGTTGGAAAGAGAACAGATCAATTACAAAGTGAAAGCATCCAGATTTAGAAAAGTGTAAAGTGTGCCGCTTCTAAACTTGCGCGCGCAGCCGATATCTAGGCCTTGCAGAACTTCTTGTAGTGGCCCGCCAGGCCGCACTTGAAGCAGCGGCGGCCGCACTCCTTGGCCTTGTGGCCTCGCTTGAAGCAGCGAAAGCAGATCTGGTTTCGCATCTAAAGGAGAAAGGGGAAAACAATATGTCAGTTGATAGGTAGAGGTTGCACCCATAGCCAAAGAGAACGTACCTGTGGGCATCGGAACTTGTAGTGTCCGGTTGACTTGCAGTAGTAACAGTTCTGCCCTTCAGTAGCCTCGCCGCCGGCGCAGTCGCCCCCATCCTCAGTGACAAGAGCCGCCTTGGCGGTTTCATAGAAATCAGTCAGTTCAGCGACCAGACACTTCTTCAGCAGGCGAAGGCCCTTCAGCGGGGGGCGCTTTGACTCGTCCTCGTTTTCAGCGTCATCCTTTTCCACCTCCTTCTCCGCTTCTTCATTGAGGCTATTGTAGCGTTCAATCACCGTCTTGGGAGCTTTCGCCAAAGCAAAGTTGAGCAGGTCGGACAACAGCTGGGAGTCGTCTTCAAAGGGGGTCATCTGGCGAATGCATCGGTTGACGAGCAGCGAGAGAATTCGCATGCCTTCCAGGTCGGAGTCGACGGATAGTTCGGCAACGGGCTCCAATTTCGAAAAGAAGCCATCATACTGAGTCTTCAGCTCCTCCTTCTGCTCCTCGACGCTCTTTTCAACGGCTGGCTCAGCAGAAATCGGCAAGGTGCCAGAGGTGCGGCGAAAACTCAGGTTTCGATAGGTCTGCTTGACCGGTCCAGGGCGGCGAAAGCCTTGCGAAGCACGGCCACCATTGCCTTGTTCAGTGCCAGAGGCAGTTGACTGGGACCTCTTCTTGTTCGACTTCGGGTTGTCAGAAGAAGTCACGGTGCCAGCAGTAGCCGGAGAAACATTTCCAGTTTCTACTTCCTCATTTGAGGAGGCGTCCTTGTGAGTGGAGCCGTCTTTGGTCGCCTTTCCGGAGGACACCGCTTTTTCGGGCTTCTTTTTCTTCTCGCTGACCAACTGAAAGAATCGACGGTACAACTCGGAAACGGTAAGGCGCCACTCTTCGAAAGAGGTAGTCTCATCGCCATAGGGCAACTCAAGGACCAGCTCCTCTATGGCGACAATCTTGCGCTCAATGGCAGCCAGTTTGACGTGCATGTTGTTGCAGGGCAGATCGAAAATGCCCTTGAGTGAATCCTGGTGGTAGGAGAGCTTGTGGAGCAGCGTCTCGTGCTTGTCAACTTCAGACATCTTCGGCAAAGATCGGTGACTTGAAGAGTGAAAGATGAAAGTTGGAGAAATAGAACTCGCGGATAAGTAGAACACAAAAGCCGAGATCGTGAGCGGGAGCGAGATTGAGAGAGCGAGGCAGACGTCGAGAGTCGGCGAAAGCTAAATGTTGAATGAGCCTTTGGCGAGAGAGCTGACCAGCTAAATAACCTTACCAGTCGCCCGCGCCGCTGCAATGATTCTGGACACGTCATCAATTGGCCCTGATGACCGCCCAATCAGACAGGCGCCCAGTCGGTGTGAACTGTGTGAAAAGGACTGACTCAGCGAACGTGGCCACGACTGTGTCGCGTGAACTGTCGCTGAGTCAGTCTTGATAAAGCTGTGAGATAACAAAACGGAATTTCTAAATGAGAGGTTTAGGCGAGCAAAGAATTTACGAGAAGGGTTTTGGGTTTTTATGAAAAAAATTCTTTTCATTTGCATAAATAAGTTTCATAAATGAGCTTGGCAACGGTTGCTCTCATGTGTCTAGTGATATTTGAAGTGCTTTACTGTAAATTGTGTGCAATTTTTCAGTTTAGAAAAGAAGGTTTGCAGGGAGCCTAGTCAGCTCGCTCGATCAGTTACTGATTAGTGAGATTTAGAAATTGCCTTTCTCTTGTCGATTGCTAAACGATCACACCTTTTTCTTTTCTTGGTTCTATTTCATTTCCTTAAAGTCGATCTATTTTTTCTCCAAGACCCAAAAATGATCCTGAACAAGCTTAACCTGCTGGAGAGAGGTATAACCGAACTTCTTTCAAGTGGCACAGTCTCCTTTGCCCTTATAGAATCTAAACTGTCAGAAATTGAATCCTCGGTTCTGGAACTAACCGACCACTTTTCCCTCTCTGAACTGACTTCCTGGCACTGCAAACTGGCACACTGGTGGTGTCAGTACGCCCAAGCAGTAGAGGGTGCATCACTTTCACAGCTGAACCACCTCAAGCCAAAGAAAGCCTCAAGTTTCGATGGCAAGGAGAAGAAGTGCGTGCAAAGCAAAGGCGACTACTTTGCTTTGNACTAACCGACCACTTTTCCCTCTCTGAACTGACTTCCTGGCACTGCAAACTGGCACACTGGTGGTGTCAGTACGCCCAAGCAGTAGAGGGTGCATCACTTTCACAGCTGAACCACCTCAAGCCAAAGAAAGCCTCAAGTTTCGATGGCAAGGAGAAGAAGTGCGTGCAAAGCAAAGGCGACTACTTTGCTTTGCTCCGTTGCAACTCCTCTTCTCTCACTGGTCTCAGCAGCAGTGTTTTTGAGGACTCCAGCAACACCTTCGATTGGGTGTTTCGAAGTTACCAATCAAACAGTAGCTTCAACGCCAACAGCAGCAGCACACCTTTTGGTCCATACGCCTCTTTCTTGCCTGCCGCCAGCAGCCTCTCCCACTTCTCCGACGACGAACTGTCCGAGCTGGCCACTTTCCTCGAGAATATCCCCATCGAGGCCACCGTCAGCCCCTACTACCTGCAGACTGTCACAGAGCAGCTGCTGGAAGAGCTGTCTGCGGTCAGCTCCAGCGGTCAGAAGGCCATTGGCACCCTCAAGGAGCTGCTGCTCACCCTCTGCAAGGGCATCACCGCCTTTGCCCCCTACCGCAGCCAGTCGGTGGCCTACGATCGCCACCTCTTTGCAGTCGCCTTCAGCAAGCTGACCTCCGAACAGCGCCACCACTTCACCGCCAACTACGCCCGTGACAGTGTGCAGCTGCTGAGTGAGTACGCCCGCCACGAGATCATCACCTACTACTCGGTGAGAAAGCGAAAGGTGCTGGCGGCCAATATGCCCGACGAGACGTCGCTGCCCGCCGAGCAGACTGAAGGCTGGCAGAAGCTGAAGCTCAAACTGCAGCTGCACCAGCCGCGACAGCTCTGTCGGTACTGCCACGAGGCGTACCACAGCCTCAAGAACTGCCCCGTCCTCAAGAATATTCTCTGCTTTAGCTGCTTCAACTACGGTCACTCCTCCAAAATGTGTCACTTTCAGGCCAAAGGGAGTGAGGATCCTTCCCTGAAGGTGATTGCATTTTAGTGCACTATACTACCAGTGCCAGTGACTAGCCTTCTTCTTTCATTGTACATTTTCCTTTACTTTAAACTCATATTCCAACACTTTAGGACAACTATTTTGTACTTCTCGCAAAATATATTCAGTTTCTTTATTGAATCAAATTTAGCTACAGTAGTTGTTTGGTAGAATAAGGCATTATAGTATAAAAGTGTGTAGAAGGTTTTCAGCCTATTTTCGCCCGTGGAAGCGCTTCATTTGGACAGTCCTTCTTGCTGTGGCCATCTGTTTTGAAGCAATTCAGGCACAGCTCAGTCTCCATTGCCGTACGACGATTACCCGCTTCTTCGATGATGTAGTTTCGCAGCTCATTGAACAGCCTGCTAACCGAACGGCGCCCGCCGACTTCTTTAAGTGCTCGAACCCGCTGGGACATCTTCACTGGCATCTTGCATTTGGCGTACTCAAAAAAGTCATATCGCAAACCAGGGTCTCGAGCATAGGGCTCTCCTAATTTGCTGCAGAGGGATATAATTCGTAACATTGCCGCCAGTCCTTCCAGGTCGTTTTCGTCGTAAATGACTAAATCATAGAATGCATTCTGCATCTTCACTCTAAGGGCCGTCTTGGACAGGCTTCTGTCTTCATTGCTCTTTGGAAAGTTCTCTTCAGCGTGATAGATCGTCTGGTTCCGGGGCTTGTATTTGTAAATGGGAAATGACGACGGAATGACTGCTTTCAGAATAGTCTCATCTGGTTGAGCTAGTTCTAATTCCGGAAATTGTAAAGTTGGCGTTTTCATGGACACTTCCATTGTCTGAAGTATTGGCTTGTGTTGTTTTATTTGCTTTTTTGGTTCTTGTTCTTCAACTTTCTTTTTTGGGTTGTCTTTGCAAAGTGAGCAGTTTTTGAGCCAGATCATTTCCAAGAGTTCTGTCCACTTTTCTACCAGCTCTTCACTGACGTCTTCGGTGTTGGAAAAAAGCATCTCAAATTGTTCTATTTGCGTTTTCAACCTTGACTCAATTTCAGGTGGCATTTCGGCTGGTGTGACCGGCAGTATGGATGCCAGAAATCTTTCTGGCATCGTCAATTTTGCTATCAGATTCTGAAGCAGGTAGATCATCGTCGGCAAAATGGGCTGAAGTATCCTTGATGGTGACCTGGTGAGTGAAAGAGTGAAAGAATGAAAAATAGAACAAGCCAACTTTCTAAAACTCAGCGCACAGACAGGGCATGCGCATTTCTTATCAATTCTGATAAGAAGCAAAAAACTCTGAGAATTTTACAATGCTACTCCCAAGATCTAAACTTGCTTCAATATTTATCTGTTTTAAAATAAAAGAAACAGTTGTACTGAGCAAATGTATTCTTTCGTTTATTCTACAACGTATCAAAAGAAGATTACACAAAGATTGTTGGTAAAATCAGGTATTATGTTTGTCTAGCTGGTTTCTATCGTTAGTAAGTATTGATTTGCAGTAGTAGAAGATTGACACAAACGTGATAAACGTTTTAGAAAAAAACATCAATTGACTCGTTAACCGGTATTGACGATTAAACGTCAGGGCAGGTCTTGATGGTGTGGCCACGGCGAAAGCATCCATCACAACGAATTCTTTTCATCTGAGGACAACTAAACATAGGGTGGCTGCCAACTTGACAGAATGCGCATTTGGGAGCACTTTCTGACGACGCAGTAGAGCTCCCAGCGGAAAACAGTGCTTCAATGCGTTGCTCTTCCTGCAGCTCCTTCTCTAGAGCTTGAATCTCGTCCATGAGAAAGTCCTTTAGATTGTTCACTGTTTTGGGGCGAAGGAAATTTTGCCTGCTAGGCTTTTTTGGTGATCGTTCTGGCAAAGTAGGCTGGCAGTGAGATTCTTGCGCCTCCAGTGATGAAGTACCGGCAAACCTGGTTTGCAGCTCTGCAGGCAACTTGGATGTGACGTGCTTGAGAAGGGTCTGCTGAAAGTTGATATCGCTCATGTAGATGAAAAACAGTTTCTCCGCTCGAGTGATCAGCCCAAGAAAGTACTGCAGCTGTTTGAGAACTTCAGTTTTCGTTAGTGACTCGAAAGGCGCAAACACGACGAATGATTGCTTGAGAAAATTCAGCACATCTTTACCGGTCGGATTCTTCTTCTGCTTGAATTCATTCTCCTGGTGCGGAGTGGCATACTCCACCATAAAGTAGGATACATTAGACTTGTAAGCAAACGGCGACACAGACTGCTGAATCACCCTGTCTTCGTCGGCCCATGAGGGACTTTTGGTTGCAAAGACGGTCCACCACTGGGATAGCTTTTCACGCCAGGCAGTGGCCATTTCTTCCTCGTCCTCGGGTATCTGCATGATGAAGTACTCCGCCTCGTCAAGTAGGTTTCGCAGAATGACCGATTTGGAGGGCACAATTAGGTAGTTGAGCAGCTGCAGGATGGGCCCTCCTAACTGGGCAAGCTTGATTGTCACTAAATTGCGGTTTTTCCAGACCATTTTCTTGCAATTGACTGGACTCGTTATGGTGTCAGGAAAAGAGAGACTAAATTGATTTTTCAGACATCGACTTTTGTTTGAGATAACGCTCAAAACAGTACCTTTAAGTAAGCTTATCTATCAGTCAGGGTAACGATGCAAAAACTCACAGGGCAAATGTCAAGTAATGACTCAATTTTGGCGTTGCTAAACTTTACTCAGATGTCTAAATGGTTACCGAAAAGAGAGTATTTGCAAAAAGTAAAATAAAATACAGTAGTTGTGAGCTTGTGAAAAAATAAAAATATGAACAAATAAAAATGGTAAAAGACGACCAATATGGGCTGTGTAGGTTATCAATTAAAAGTGTAGAATCCATTGGCGTCAACTTTGAGCTCAGCAGTGTTGACCTGCTCGCTTGAAATAAGAGCCGGCTTGGCAAGAGTGCTCCTTGCCGGCAGAACACTGGACAACGGCTGATAATAACGCTTCTC